TATTATTAACTTTTAAATGTTGCCGGCAATGACAATGACAGATGAAGCTGTTGACCAAGCAGGGAATCATAAAGTCACAGACAGAATGTGCACCTAACAATGGCTACTTTCTTATTCCATTGTATGACAAGGTATGTAACTGATGTGCATACAGTTCAACCCCTATTAAACGGCCACCCTTGGGGAAATAATGTGGCTGCTTAGAAGGGGGTTGGCCACTTAATAGAGTGAAAAACAATTGGCAAGTCCTCATTGGGGTTTTGATTTCTGGCTGCCTAACAGGGGTGGCCATTTAATAGGTGGATTGGGGGTTCGACTGTATTAAAAAAAGAAGACCTTATTTGACATGCATGTGTATGTATAGAATCAGTGTATTAAAAGTACTTTTGCAATGAAGATCTTAATTTTGAATGCCCAGTTTTATTATGAAACTTTTGTACCATAATATTTTGGTAATAATGTATGTATTTAGTATTTTGAGATATTGTCATAGTCTGTGCATGATTACTGTACCTTTCAATAACATGTAAACTAAAAATCAAAACCCCCAAAATAAGCCAAACAATGATTATGTTTTTCACTGGTGTCGCATTAATATTGTCACATTGACAATCAACAAACCTTAATAGAGAAACATACAGAGAGGCTCAAAACCCTAGACATGACCTTTTGAACTCGGCAAAATACATTTCTGTTTCTTGAGAGGTCTGCCAAATGAATATGACTGGTGTAAGAGANTTACTCAGAATTGGTATTTTGTCCTTGCAGACTCCATTTCAAGTGCATGGATTTTCAGTCACTGGTCAAATTCTTACAGCAGAGGTAAGATTTAGTCTAATGCATGGGGTTATATTAACATACTAGTTACTAATACAAGACATAAAGTGGAATCCCGATTTCTCAAACCATCCTTTTCTTTAACCTCTTGATTACTCTTATCAAAAGCCATTTCCCTCCCTCACTTGAACAGTGAAATTCTACCCACAATTTCATGAACTACCAGTGATTTTTCAAACCACTTTTCATTTTCCTTAAAAGTTCAAAAAATCGGGATATTCAGGGCTGTCATTAAGTTTTGAGTCGCCTGTACCCTTGTTCTCCACACCTGTAGCAAACTTGTTACTTTGTGGATGTGAATACTTTCAACAACAGGCAATTCACCTGTAACATCAAGGGAAAATCAAGCATACTCAGCTGTAGCAGGTGTTTATGGGTTATGGCCCTTAATGACAGTCCTGATATTACTGTACTTGTAAGCAGCAGTCAAATGGTTCACTTACATATGTGTTCACACTCATTGAACCATAGACTTGAATGTAGGCTTTAACTTAAGGGTATAAAGTGTACATGTATTTCATGAATTATGGAATACACATAAAATTTAACTGTACTATTTGTGTTTAAGGGTCAAGGCATTGGAGATGTTACAATTTCAGCTGGTGAAGACCTGACGGCAACAACAACTGCAGAAGGTGTCTATGTATTGAACAATGTCACAGCTGGGGGCTACACTATTCAGGTAGGAAAACAACAAACAAAATTTTAACAAGACAGAAAACTATTCATTTTTAATGCATTACTAATTCCAAGCAGAAAGTAGGAAACAAGGTTAAGAAGAAAAGCAAGGGCTACATGACTTTGTTGTATTTAGTTCTTGGGAAAGACATGTCCAGTCCCCCAGTGTCCCATCGACCCAGGAGTACTATAGAATTATATATGGACACCAGCAAACATTTTGCGTTGGTAAACTTCTGCAATGTGTGGAAAAAGTGTTGAAACTCCTCACTGTATTATTTTTTTCAGTGCATGTTGGAAATTTTGTTCTCCCCTCTTTTCCAAATAATGTTGGTTTTTCTACCCTAAGACTGCACAGACCACAGTACCTGTAAAACCCTGAATTTTGGGGGAAAGATGGGGCAGGGGTGGTTGCAGTAATTTTCCTAAGTGTCTCAATCACTTTTGTCACCCACTATACAGTATGTAGCTTCATTATGCTACAGGAACTGATGCATATTGAGCTGTAAGGCTTATAACTGCAGGGGAGGGGGGATGTTTCAGATTATTCAGTGAGTAACTGTTCATGATATTGAAATAAATTTTCATTTTTACAGGCAAATAAAGAACACTATTTTTTTAATCCAGTGAAAGTTCAAGTGACTCCAAACACTCCCAGGCTTCCGGTGATCACTCCCACATCGTAAGTGGAGACTGGAGTGTTTTATTTTCTTTCATACAGTGGCCTTGCATGTTAGTTATTGTTTTGTTATTTGAATGTACAACTTTAGACTGGATGAATGCAATTCAGAGAGCAAAAGGGTTAAAGGATTCAATGTCACACAAAGATGTTGCTCATTATTTTAAGCTGATTTTAAATTCCAAGCATAAGGCAGCAGACAACAGCCCGTCTTCTGATAATGCCCTCATTCTGATAAATTTGTCATTTGAACTGGTGAAAGCACACCCTGGTCTGGCCTGACAAAAATGGTGTAGCGAAATCAAAAGGTCAGGTCCAGCTTATTTGAAACAGGATGTTAGATGTTATGTGGTAATTGAATGCAATCTAAGGAAAAAACAAGGGGGATAATTTGACCCCCTAGAATGACCCCACCCAGATGTACCACTGAGTATAAGGACAACCTGAGACAGGGGGTAACCAGCTTCCCCTACCCTGGGGTAACTTTTAATGAGCAAGTGTCTTATCCTGGGGGAGGGAGGGGGGCACTTGCATGAGCAATATTCCTAACTAGTCACTACAAATATATATTTTTGACTTACAGGAGTTGACTACTGCCATTTGCACTTGCACAAAAACCTGTCCAATCAATTAAATTTGAGAATGTTCACTTGAATAATTATTATGGACATGATTGCATGAATTTACAGCAATGAATTACCAGTACAGTAATTAATTTGTTTTTCTCTTATTTCCAGATATCACCTGTGTGGAAATTTAAAGTTTGATGAGTTTCCTCCTGGAGTTAGTCTGGTATGTATTTTTGGAGATGATTTTACATCAAAATGTTTCGTTCCCTAACTTTACTACATAGTTTGTTGTGGAAGTGGAAAAACAATTCACAAGGCTGTAAATAATGTCCCTGATGTAGCAAATTCCTTAATTTTGCTATGTTCGTATCCCCTACATGAAATATGTACCTTTATGTTTACAACTTGTGATCTGCATGCAGGTCTAGCACATTAAGCAATATATCAATTTCTTAAATTTTACAGACATTAGTTTTGGTGATGGGAAGGGAGTTCCAATGTACATGTAGTCAGTGGAGGCAGGGGTTAAATTCTATACTGCCATACATTATAAAATTATTGTCCTTGTAACATGTAACAAAATGAATCTTATATTACGTTTTACAGTTAAAAGGACGCAAAATGATTTTACAAACAGAAGGTGCATCAATTGCAACGAGATCAATTTCTACCTCAGTGGATGGAAATGGTGACTTTTGCTTCAAAGTACCGCCAGGGGTCCATACCATTCAGGTAATAGGTTGCACTGTAAATGCAATTGTATTTGAATATTAGTATTTTCATTGTTAGTTCTGCTCTGGCTTATGATCCTCAAGCCTGTACTGAACAACATCAATCTTGCGTCTAATTTAAATGTATAGTTTTTATTACTTTGCAAAAATGATAAAAGTATGTTCTAAAAGGTTCTGTTTTTTTTCAATTCTTCAACTTTGATACTCTGGTGTGTAGTGCTAGAGAGTGTGATTGCAAAGGAAAAGGCTTAAATTTGTCAAATTGTTTTTGGCTGCTTTGTCAATACCAGTCTGACACTAATTTTGTACAGACACATTTTACAAGTGATATTTTTTACATGTACAACACTGCATGTGACAGACTTCTGCTTGGCCTACTTATTTACTGATTGTTTTATATCTTTGAATGTTCTAGCCTGTCATAACAATGCAAGAAGTTTCTGCTGGCTTGGCATTAACACCCAAGGAACAAGTAGTGACCGTGACAAACAGTCCTGTTCTTGGCATAGCATTCTCACAGTTCAGGGCAACCGTTGCTGGAACTGTAAAATGTATTGGTAAGTTGTTGCCAGCAAAACGTAGATTGTGATTGGTGTTGGGAAGGGAAGATGTAGATCAACCCAGATGGGGAAGTGCTAAGAATTTTATGGGGGAGAGACTGAGTATTTTGGAGGGGGAAGGTGTTCAGGGCCGTCATTAAGGTTTGAGTAACCTGTAGCTTTGATCTTCACACCTGTAACAAACTTGTAACCTTTTGAGGGAATTGTATCAACTACAGGTAAGCTCATCTGTAATATCAAGTGTACATCAGACATACTTAGCCGTAGTAGGAGTGTCATGGACCCTATTGACAGCCTCGGTTGCTGCGTAGTCCAGGAGGGCTCAGAGGCACTGAGTAGTCTGGTGGAGGGGAGATGCTGAGTAAGATGTACACATGTAAGTCTCAAGAGTATGTGCAGCTGTTAATGGACAAAAGCAGTTGAAGATGGAAGTATATACACAATGTTACTCTTACAATGTATTTGAAGTCTTATCTGAGAATTAGATGGCTCATCCCAGCAACATTTCTCTTATCTGGACAAATGGATGACTTTCTTAATTATCAGGAAAAAGAAAAAAGGACTTTTAAATTCAGAAAATAAAAAAGAAGGGAAATGTTAGCAATTTTCTTGACTCTTTCTTGCCTTTTACTGCACAGGTGGTTCCTGTACCGGGGTTTCAGTTTCACTTCAATCATTGTCAAACCCAAATCTGCCCAAAGCAGAGGCCCAGGTATTTGACTGTCGTATTGAATAGACCATTTTTACTGATACAGTCTATTTGAATTAATTTTTTTTTTCATTTCTTTTTTATTATGAATTTGCATAATTATTCTTCTGTTGATTTTGAACAGGTCACTGATACCTCTTTCATGTTTAAAGATGTTTTTCCTGGAAAATACAAAGGTATTACTGACAAGTCTTAAATTTGTGAAAAGATGAATTGAATCTACATGTACCAGTGTATACAAGGTAGATATAATTTGATGGAGCTGAACGGGAACTTTGACATACATGTACATAACAACAGCAGCTGTTGAGCAAAATGATTAGAATTAAGGATACACAACTGTAACTGCACAAATTGTGTGTGCGCTTCCTTACTGTGCATGCAATTTGCATTCCACAGAATGAGAGTTTTTAAAGTGACAAGTATAATGAATGATGATTTTCATTGCAGCATTAGTACTCGAAGAATCTTGGTGCTGGGAAAATTCATCTTTGGAGTTTGAGGTGGCAGAAGCAGATGTCACTGACCTACAGTTTGTGCAGTCAGGATTTATTTTAAAATGTATCCTGTCTCATGACATCACATTGGTAAGTGCTTAATATTAATTATGTATTAATAATAGATAATTATTAATTATGATAATAAAGATTATGAATAATAACTCATAAATAATTATTTCTCTTTCTTAACTATTTGGTATTGAGTATAAATTTGTCTTGTTTGCTCACTCAAAAAGATGCACTTGGTAATAGTTTGTTTTCTTCATAGTTCTTTTCACTGGAATCTGGTAAAGAAACTGTGGACTCCTTTGACTTACCTAAAGGAACTAAAACATTTTGCTTGAANGAAATTAAAGGCGCGCGAGAAAAAGTCAAATTACTTTCGATACTCGAGTGAACACTGCTCTATGTGACAGAATTGATCTGCTTACTGTTTCTTAATTACAAGGTCTCTGAAATCCAAGGAGGTCACAAGCATAGGACCATTAAAACTGGAATCAAAGGAAAAGAAAGATGCAGGGGATTTAAATGGCAGTAAGCTCGAAGAGCAAAAAGACGAGCTATTATACAACTTTTCACACTGGGGAAGGTAAATGTATAAAATATTTTGTTGAAGTCTTTAGTTACATTCACAATTCAGTTGGAAGTACAGTGGTGTTATAGACGTTTAGTCTGTTGTTTGCCTCCGGTTTTCAGTTGTATGTTGTTCTTGAGCAAGTTGCTTTACTCTCACAGTGCATCTCTCCACCCGGGTGTATTACTGGCGAATTTTTGGGGAAATCCCGTCAAAATGCCGGGATGAGGGGTTACCTCCCATCCCTTCCCATCCCGTCCCATCCCTTCCCGTCTATTCTCGCCTTATCTCGTCTCGTCCCGTCTGTAATGGACTAGCATTCCATCTTGGGTAGAGGGGTGGGGTGGAATTTCGGACTGTAAAAGTGGCCGCCCCCTTCAGAGTTAAACGCCTGACTTCCGGGTCACAGCGCTCCAACAAAGCTTTACTTTGTTTTCCTCTACTTACCGTTACGGGCTTTTCTTCACTTAGTTTACAGATATTTTTGATTTGTCTATATCTCACACTAATTATGCCTCTTATTGATAGTTATTGTTGAATTGTATGTAAACGTCCTAACAGAGTCTCTTGTGTTTAGGCGTGGTGAGGAATTTGAAGTTACTCCAGCTTCATCAGAGTTGCTGTTTTACCCTGCAAGCAGAGTTGTCACCATTTCAGGTATGACAACCACTTTGCAATTAAAACTGCTTAAATAATGAAAGGAGCTTCAGATCCATCAGTCTCTTCTTGATCTAGCAAGGGACTTTGTGTGGTATTCTTCGGCAAGACACTGGAAAGCGATCAAACTTTGTGATGTTATCTTTGTTCCATCGACTTAAGAAACGAATTGCGGCTCTGTTTTCTTTGAAACTTTAGTTACGTCGGTTTTTTGCGAGCAGTATATTCCATGCTAACTGGTTTTGTGAGTGTGATTCTCGTGAAAAACAAGGCATGTTTACCTTCTGTTAGTCTACCTAGCTGATGGGATTTTGCGCGCGAGTACTTTGTTCCAGCGGCGAAGGTGAAAATTCTCCCGCGACTCTGCAGCCGAAACAAACCACTCGCGTGCTTAATCCCGCCAGTACACTTGCGAACGAGGAATACGATTTTTCTACTTTCTCAGATGACTGTCCAGCAGCTTGGGCTGAATTTGAAGGACGGAAAGGTGTCTTCATCGAGGGTCAAGTTGCTCCTCCTTTGAGCGGCGTCCAGATTGTCATTTCACCAGGCGGTGACAAGCCCATTGCTGACATCACAGTCCAAACAGACAGTAATGGAAAATACCGGTTTGTTTGCTTGTATTTTGTTAATGAACATGATTACGAAATCGTACAGAAATCTCGTGTTTGCTGACATTGGTGTCATTTTTTGTGTGTGTCAGGGTGGGCCCCCTTCATGGAGGCATTGAGTACTTTCTGGTAAGTGTTGTGGAATGAACGATTAACAACCGCACGTTTGTGACAAATAAACTGACCTCGAATTACCTTAATTAAAAAAAAAACCGTCNGTGGTATTCTTCGGCAAGACACTGGAAAGCGATCAAACTTTGTGATGTTATCTTTGTTCCATCGACTTAAAAAACGAATTGCGGCACTGTTTTCTTTGAAACGTTAAATACGTCGGTTTCTTGCGAGCAGTATATTCCATACTAACCGGTTTTGTGAGTGCGATTCTCGAGAAAACAAGGCATGTTTAGCTTCTGTTAGTCTACCTAGCTAATGGGATTTTGCGCGCAAGTACTTTGTTCCAGAGGCGAAGGTGAAAATTCCCTCGCGACTCTGCAGCCGAAACAAACCACTCGCGTGCTTAATCCCGCCAGTACACTTGCGAACGAGGAATACGATTTTTCTACTTTCTCAGATGACTGTCCAGCAGCTTGGGCTGAATTTGAAGGACGGAAAGGTGTCTTCATCGAGGGTCAAGTTGCTCCTCCTTTGAGCGGCGTCCAGATTGTCATTTCACCAGGCGGTGACAAGCCCATTGCTGACATCACAGTCCAAACAGACAGTAATGGAAAATACCGGTTTGTTTGCTTGTATTTTGTTAATGAACATGATTACGAAATCGTACAGAAATCTCGTGTTTGCTGACATTGGTGTCATTTTTTGTGTGTGTCAGGGTGGGCCCCCTTCATGGAGGCATTGAGTACTTTCTGGTAAGTGTTGTGGAATGAACGATTAACAACCGCACGTTTGTGACAAATAAACTGACCTCGAATTACCTTAATTAAAAAAAAAACCGTCTAGAGCTAAGACATCATAAAGACATCATTCAATTTGCTTGATTGTTGATGACGCTGAAACCTTGGACGAAAAAGAAAATTGTCCCCTAAATACGATCCTTGATAGGAATGGAGCCATACTAACACCTAGAAAATCAGTGGAATGAATCATAAATAGTATACAAGGCGAATTTGACCTAACGACATCTAGAGAGTGAAGAACCTAAAAACGGCCGTACGATATTTTGCCCTCTGTACTACTGGTTGATCTCTAATAATCTACACAATCCTGCACCAATGCACCAATGTACGTAAGGCATTGTTTTAGAGTACACACGAGTAATAAAAAATGTTTTACGCTTGCTTTAGTCTCAAAGATCGCAAGCTAAGAAAAACGAATTTATTCAAAGCACTTTTGAAAATTAAAAGCCTAATTTTTTTATCGTTCACAGTTGCATGTGTTATGCGGTTTCTGGTGATGTAATGTTTTATCTCATTCTGTTGACCCCCTCTTCAGACTGCAAGCAAACAAGGTTTTATACTCAGCCCTGTGGCTGGCAAGAAGGGAGATTTTCAAGCGTTGAAACTTGGACAAATTGACATTGTGGTAAGAAGAATGAGCATTGAATGAAAATAGTCAAATGTCCCGTGGGTGGATGTCTTTGGACCGCATCCAAATGTCCGCTTACGGGAGCTGTTTGTTAGTAGGGTTTCGGGTGGTTGTACGTCGGCAGAAGAATGTTATATAATCGAATAACTAGACGTTGGTCTCGATAAAATTCGACTGATATGATTTGGATCGTCAACACTTTCTTTCCGTCTGAAACAGACGGAAATCTCGACATGAAGATCGCGTTCGGGACAAATGAATCATCTTACAAATGATGTTACAAATGGTCTTACAATGAGGCCAAGTAATTGGGGTCGGCCTGGCCTGAGACTTAGACAACTTAGCACAGTCATTAAATTTATTGATTAAAAAGGAAAATGTAAAACGTTTAATTAGTTGCTATAAAGCAGATAATTCTTCAAGGCAGAAGGGACAAAAAAGCGAGGGGAAATAGTTATCACGCGAAACTTAGACGTACATTCTCTTCCCATTTTTAATGCTCCCTACTTCCCGTACCAAGAGAAAAGAAGCGGTGTCTTCTCAAAAATTACCTCAATGGCCCCTTCCACCCTACGCCGGAGGAATTTGAAAACGCAACAATCACCGGTCATTTATCATTTGTGTTTGAGTAAAACTCGGGCGGGGGAATACCGTGATTATCGTAACTTCATCGTTTACGAAAAGCTTCGTCTTCAAAATGTTTTTCCGTCCACACTTAAACGGAAAGCCAGCGTTTTCAAACTCCTCCGATATGGAGAGCGTTTTCGTAAAGCTCCGTTTTCGTGACGGATTAGTGTGGACGGAATGCCTAACTGGAGAAATAAAGCTGCGTTTTCAAATTCCCTCTGTGTAGTGTGGACGGGTCCTGAACTAAGCAATTTCCTGAGAAACATTGTTTGAGGACATGTACGTTTGCTCTGTCATCTAAACCACGAAAGAAAAATTTCGATTTTTCTTCTTGTTATTAACAGGTGTCTGATGACAATGATCAGCCGTTATCTGCAGTTCTGTTGTCGCTGAGCGCGGGTCAGTTCCGTAGCAATAACCTGACTCTTGATAATGGTACTATGGTGTTTGCTAACTTGGTAAGTCGTGACTTCACGAGCGCTTTGCACGCACAAGAGCTACTGAGCAGATATTAACACAATGGTCTGTTTGTTTTGTAGGGTCCAGGACAGTACTTTTTTCGTCCGATGTTAAAAGAGTACACCTTCACACCCGCTTCTCAGGTCTGTAGCGCTGTTTAATTCATAAAAGGGTTAGGTCACTCATTTATAAGTAATTTCAGCTCTGCCATATAACCTACTTAGGTCAATACTGTTGTGCCCTTGGGCAAGATACTTTATCCCTTCAGTGCGTTTCTCAAACAGAATTTCAAATGGATATGCTAGGCGCGGTAGGACGGGGCGGGGGGGCTGTGATGGACTAGCATCCCTTCTAGGGGAGAGTATATATCTAGCAATACTTACAGTCGGTAAGCTAAGCGAGTTAAGCGCCAGCAATGATCAAGCTGGAGTGGATGTGTGCACTGTTTTGTCGTCTCCCTCCTGAACTGTTCACTTGTTTAGTGCCTAATTCTTGTGCACTGTTTTGATCTGTTAACAGATGATAGATGTTGGTGAAGGTGCGACTGTGATGATACATGTCAAAGGCAAAAGAGTTGCGTTCAGGTAAACTAACGCTCATGTCAGACTTTGTAGTATCACACAATTGACCTGGTTTGTTGTCTATCATGGTCAGTCCGATGTGCTTGTGTGGGCGTGTGTTGTAGTAGACTCAAAACTAACTGAAAACCCCAAGTCAGTAATGTTCATTTTAAGGGAAGCAAATTCATCGTTTTGTTTCTTAAATGAGGTACAGAATTTTCAGAAAATAAAGAAAAGCCCAGATTAATAGTCTACCGTAAAATTTTAAAGTTCCGAAACTAACCACAAAAGTTTCACGGTTGTTAGCAAATCCCTAAAGTAGATACACACCGAAAGTTACGACGAAGATAGTGCCCTCAAATATATATTAACTGGTTATGAGACTCAATGGAAGTGGAACTTTTGAAGATAGAAGCAAACTGTACCAAATGATAAGATATTTGTCATTGGTTGTTAACTTGATTTATTAGCGTGGTCGTAATGTTTGTAAGGAGAGATCATGTTCTTTCTTTGCAGTTGTTTCGGTCAAATATCATCCCTAAATGGGGAGCCAGAAAAAGGAATAGCTATCGAGGTTGGTATTTATGTGCTCCGAAATAACAGGTGTTGTATTCAAGTTTATTTGTGCCTTTCTGTTTCTATGTCTGTAAGGCTTCTTCTTATGTGCTTTGGTTCCATTTACAGGCTGTCGGCCTCGATAGCTGCGAATCTTTTCAAGAAGAAACAGTTTCTGATCAAGAGGGTCAATATCGCTTGCGTGGACTTCAGGTTTGTTAAAAAAATATCTGTTACGTTAGGTTCATAGCAAATCAGTCATCCGTCTGTGGTTTTATATTTTGCTGTACTCGATACTCGGACAACCAATCAGGGAAAACGTGTTATGCTTTTAACCAATCAGAGGCGAGACAAACACCAAACATACCTACGTTTTCCCGCCCTTAGCAGCAGTTCAATGTTTCCCCGCGCTTACTGTCGTCGGTATGTTTCCCGCTCATTCTGCGACTGGCAAATTTCTTACTTAAAATTTCTCATTGATCTGTTGCGTTACTGCCATTTCTTCGTGACAGACCAGATGGGTTATTAAGTGTAAATTTAGTTTTATTAAAAAAAAAAGAAGAAGAAGAACCTGCTGTATGACTCAATTTGTAAGGAAGTGTTACCTGTTGCTTGCGTTGTTCATGGCTGTCCACCGTTTCTTTCAGCCCGGGTGCATGTATAGAGTTCGAGTGAAGACTGGGGATAGTAATCCACACATTGAGCGAGCCTCGCCCTCGTTTATCGACATACAGGTAAAATGGCTCTCAATGAATGATGTTCAATAACTTTAATATGGTTTCGTGACCAAGCGTGAGATCCAAACCGCTGAATATACGCTAAGTTTGCTAACTGTTTATTCAGTGCTGTACTAAGTGGCTATAAAAAGTGACCATTCAAGTGAAAGCTATTGAGCAGTACTTTCATGTGGTACTGTTTATTTTTTCTGTATATCATGGTTTTTTAAGTTTTTCATATCTTTAGATGAAACCCGTGTGTCAGAACATGCAATTGAAAGCTACTGAGCGCTACTTTCTTTTTGTTTTCTTTAATTTGATATGTAACATGATTTTGACTCCAGATGAAACCTTATGTGTGTGACTTTTCAAATGAGTACCTAATACTGACGCCGTAGAACCACCGTCTCTTTAATTTTGATATACTTTTAAACTTGAGCATGTGTGACAACAGGGGACACTGTCTAACTGTCGAATTGCTCTCCTTTCATTCCAGGTTTCTGGCTCTGACCTTCAGAATGTAAACATGATCGCTTTCCGCCATGTTAATCAATTTGAAATTACAGGCAATGTTGTGACTGACAGCCAGTTTATTTCATCTCTTAAGGTAAGGCTACTCACAAATCATTCCAAAAGTTATCAGTGCTTTCAGTTTTAGCAGCCATATCACGCTACCAGATTCGCGGATGTCCATCAGAACACGAGAAATATCTTCTAAATAGGGGTCAGAAAGTACCTCTCTCATTGTGGAGGCGCGGTGGCCTCATGGTTAGGGCGCTCGTCTCCGGATCGAGCGGTCCGGGTTCAAGCCCTGGCCGGGGACATTGTGTTGTGTTCTTGGGAAAGACACTTTACTCTCACAGTACCTCTCTCTGCCCAGGTGTATAAATGGGTACCGGCGAACGTAAAGCTGGGGGTAACCCTGCGATGGACTAGCATCCCAACCAGGGGGGAGTAGAAATACTCCTAGTCGCTTCATGCTACAGAAGGCGGAATAAGCTCCGGCCTGATGAGCCACTTGGCTCGTATGCAGACTTTACCTTTAGTACCTCTCACGATGTCGATGAATTGCTCGATACTGACATAACTGTAGAGCATTCAACAGAAACAATGCCTCTAGCCCCCAAACAATAACAGCTGCTACGCTACGATGACAAATCGAGTCGCAAGCTTGCGAGAGTTGCTAAACTTCCGCTAAAGAGAAAAAGAATTTCGCGTGGAAATGAATAGTCTCTTTTGAAGCCGCCATTTGGTGGTCACGAAACGTTGCTGAGGAGCATCACTTCTCAGTAGCGTGACTCTCAACAGCGTGACTTCTCAATAGGGTGACTACCCAACAGCGTGAATTCTCAGTAGCGTGGCTACTCAACAGCGTGACTACCCAACAGCGTGACTACTCAACAGCGTAGCTACCCAACAGCGTGACTATCCAACAGCGTGACTACTCAGTAGCGTGTCTACACGACGTCAAAAGGAGACTAGAGAGTAAAGGAATTAATGCAATGTTGAATTTTTTTTTTCTTCTCATTAGGTTACGCTGTCGCCAGAAAACAATCCCGACACGCCGGTGTTTACCACGCCCGTCAGCGTCGCCAGTTACTTCCAGTTTCCTTCCGTGCCAAATGACGGACTCGTGTACATTGTTCGTTTGGACTCTTCTCTCTCTACCTTGAATTATAATTACATTCGACCTGAATCTACTGTCACTGCCACTGGAGTGCGGGCTCATGTCACGTTTAAATTTGAACCACAGGTGAGCTCTCTATTTTGCAGACTCCTCCCCTCCCCCCTTATCTCCCCCC